TAAAGTGCATTTCCACTTTTGTATACAAAACCTCACTATATGTTTGTTATGCTTTTCTATCCACATCTAAAAAAAATATTTCTTACTTTTAGATCTGTCTAAAGAAAATATGTCATGGTTGACTGCAAACATTTCTTGTCTTCCTCAGTGTCATGTTCCAATAGCTGGGCTGGGAACTGGCTGAGTTCAGTTCTCATTGATATGCAATGGAGAAGATCAGCTCTTAAAACTTTAACTTTTTGTTAAGATAGACAAAGCTCAAATCTTGTACAACTGATGAGATGTCTGCCTCCTGACAGGGTTAATTACAGTTAAGAGCAGCTTCCAATCCCCCTTCATAACAAAGAAACCTACGTAGATTTTTTGCTTGCTAGAAGTTCCACAAAAAAGCATTTCAAAAAGGAAGCTATTTTTTTACTAGCTGATATGCGAATGGAGACATGTATCAAAAATCAAATCAGATATTGTATTGTCCTAATTTGACTGCAAAAGTGGCTTTGGCAAAGGGATTATACACACACTCCTGGTGGCCGCAGTTGGATAAATATTTACTTGAAGTAACCTCATCTTTTACATTTCACCCAAAAATTGTGTAATATATTACATTTTTGTGCCTTAAAATAACTTAAATGTATTTTTACAGAAATTTTGCACTTGATAAACTGCTGTGGAAATATCATGTTACATAAAAAGTTGGAACAACTGCTATTTTATTTTCCAGGGTCTGTTTTCAGAAAATATATGTTTGGGGTTTACAAGTAATCTTCAGGCCTAAAATAATTTTTTGAAACGCGTGCAAAAAATGTAAAAATGGCTCGGCAGTGAAAGGGTTAAAACACCATGTCTTATTGTATATCTGATTTACAGATTTATTCAAAGAGAATGTGCAGAATATATAAAATAAAAAAGTGTATAAAGTTCTGTAGCTAGGGCAATATATGTTATAAATGGGATTGCTAGTGTTGGTTAAAATCTTTTTCTGTGGAGCATTATATAGAGCTATTATATTTTGTTATTATCTGACTGCACAGAGTGGGATTGTGTACTAGGTTAATCCCTATTCATACTGTAGACTAGTTTAATCCCTACTCATACTGTAGACTAGTTTAATCCCTACTCATAAAATCTGGTGCTGATACCAGGGTTTGGGAGGACTGAGACAGCCAAAATCATACATTACATGATCAAAAACCAGGATTTCTGGTCTGAAGTCAGTAAAACGCAGTGGGTGGAGCCAGGCTGTGCAGTGCAAAAACATAGCACTGCTGAGGTTTTTACACATGGCCTTTCAAGTCTTACACTGCACTATTCTTGTTTTTGGATAATGCAAATCTTAAACACCTCATACATTATACAAATTTCTTTACTTCCTTCATGGGTGGAAGGAAATAAAATTGTTTGAATTCCCCATCAGCACAGTTAGTGTTGATGGGGGAATCCCTCCCGCAGTGCTATTGTGTTCTACTGGCAGGAAGCCTTCCCTGCTGGCAGAAGTCAATGATCACTGCTGGCGGCTGTAACCAAAGGCAATGATCGCATGAAAAAAATCTAACAGGCTGGTTGTACTGAGGTCAATTGATTGATCGACTTTGGTACAACCAGCCTGCCCTTAGATCTAATCTTGGCTAGTCCCTGTGAACCAACCAAGATTCGATCCATCTATGGCCAGCTTTAGTGGCTAAAGGATGATTTGAAAGTTGAACTCCAGGATGACCTTTTTTACCATAAAATTATCTTCCTAATGTGTAATTAAATCACAAAAAAGGGGTTAAAAAAACCCTCATTTTATAAACGAGAAAACGCTTAAGTGCCAGCAAAGTCTTTCTCTGAGCTTAATTGCTATGTAGAAACATAAAAAACTGATGGCAGAAAAAAAGATTGAGTGGTCCATTGAGTAGCCCTGTTTTTTTCTTTATACAGGTTTTGTAATTTTTTTTTTGTTTCTATTATCTTTTATGTTTGAGTATAGATCTATGTTTGTCCCAAGCATGTTTAGAGCCTTTTACTGTTGCCTGCCTCACTACCTCTGCTGGAAGTTTATTCCAAGCAACAACTACCTTTTCAATAAAATAATACTTTCTAAGATTAGTTTGAACTTTCCTCCTGTTAGTTTGAGGTCATGTCCTCATGTTCTTGTCTTGTCATATCTGCTGGTTCTAGGAGTTCACTAGAATTTCTATGAATCTCAGGGAATATAGTCAGAGCGGTGGGCCAATAAGAGCAGAAGGTAGGTATGATTGTAAGTTTGGGGGAGATGGCTGGACACAATTACCCATTACAAGAATGCTGATGCAGCAATGTTGCTCAGCAGGAACTACAGAGAGGAGTTGACATGACTGATATTTGGCCTGCAGAGAGAGAGAGCAGTGGAGACAGGTCCTATGAACCAAAAAATAGTGCAGTCAAGCTGTGAGAAAGATCTCTGTCAGGGTTATTTATTCATGAAAGCTAGGGCTATTGAAGAAATTATTTAAGGTTCAGTTAAGGTAACATGATTACTTTACAATTAATAAGTATTATTATAGAGGTTACTATTATTATATTATTATATAATTATGATTATAATAAATACTTCTGAATGGAGTACAGTTTTAAAGTAAATCTACCGTGACAGAAACATGGAAACTGCTATACTTTTCTTCTAAAAAATACACTGACATTCCTGATATAAAATGTCCAGTTAGTGACCTAGAACAACAATACTTATTTCTAGCTAGTTAATGAGCATTATTAAAGCCAGGAAGAAAGCATAACTTCGAGGCAACTAGCATTTTCAGAATGTGGTCAACAATGGCAACCCACAGATTTCTCTTATGACAGGTTTATTGTTTGGAGGATTATATACTGATTTTCTTAGTAATGCCTCCGAACAAAACACTATAAGGGCAGCATTGCCATTGTAACGCAAAAAGTTAAAAATTATAACCAAATAAAATTCTCAGAGAATTTGCAAAAGAGACTCGAAGAATCATTTTATTGCTTTAATAAAAAATAACTGTCGTCATGGACAAAATTAAACATAATTTAAAAAAATGTTTATAGAAATTTGTAGAGCAAAACAGCAAATTGTGATTTTCATGAGGCACAGCCAAGCTGAGAAGATCCAATTTATTGTGTCACATCCCACTGGCAGACACAATGAGTAGAGAGTTTCATAAAGTAGATTATAATCTACAATCACAGTTTTATTTGCTGGTTATTTCTCAGCTGCAGATGTTCTTAAATGCACAATGAATTTGAAGTCTCCAGTGGTAAATTAACATGTTATTTCAAAAACAAAAAAACTGCAGCAACAGCTAGTATACTTTACAAGGTAAAATGTAGGAGTGTGTCATTAACATTAGTTATTTGGGTGCCAAATATTTATTCAGTGGCAGTGATATTGGTATGTACACTAGAATATTATTAGTAATGAAATAAAATGTCTAGTTTAAAAGGTACAAATAACAGTAAATCATACACCTGTATCTAACTATACACAAGATTTGAAACAAAACATATACGTACATTATTCAAGTTCATAGGGTTTTTGAAAAATACAGCTTCACAGCACCAGTTAAATAAAGCTGCGTACACACAGGCTGAACATGGTCAGTACGGTAGGAACTGACCTAATTTTGGCCTGTGCGCACAGCTGTCTGTTCCACAGAAGCCAGTCTTTTAACCTGTTTCTGTCGAACGGGCATGCTGGAAAACCAGGTTCCCATCAGCACTTGCAGCCAGTGGATGCTGGGGCTGATCAGTGAGTGTTCTGGCCGGGAAGGGGGGGGGGGGTGTGCAGTTCACTGTCAGAACACAAAGGCGTGTTAGTACGGTGATCTTGCAGGTTTTTTTTTCGTTTAGCCCGTTCGGTTAAACCGAAAAAAAAAACCTTCCAGCGTGTACCCAACTAAAGTATTTCATTGACTTCAACATATTTTGGAAAATGGGCTCAGGTAGGAAAAGCGAGACTTGTTTCTGAGGGCAGAAACCCTGGAAAGAAAGGCTAAATAACCATCAAGCTGGGTGGAAGAGAAGGGAGGAATTGCATAAAGTGATCACCCTGTGAGGAACGAAAGAGTTGTGGCAAGGAAATACATGGCAGATGACAGGCAGCCATATATTTCAGACTTGACTCCACCCATCCAGTTAATCGTAAGTGTTCGACATGCCTTCAAGGCAGCATATGTGGAGGGGGAAAGACATTTCCACAGAAGGTAATAAGAAGAACTCCACGGAAGCAAGGACTGGACTTCATAATATTCTGTCCCCATGTAGCATAGGAAAAGGAGGAGGCCCCCAGGAAGAACACAGAGGGAGCCAAGGCAGAACTACTGTTGTTAGGGTGAAGTGAAAGAAGGCCCTTATACGTAAGTAACCACTTTAAGCACAAAGGGAGCTCTTTGTGTGAGCAAGATTACCTGACAAAGGTCTCAGAAGGGGAGAGAAAGTCAAATGGCAACGAAGAAGAGCAATTTTTAGCAAAAGGGAGTGTACAAGGAGTGCAAAAGCCAAGGTGTTAGAAAGAGGATATACTGTATAAGCTCTAACCATGACTAAGGACTAGGTGTTTTGCAATTCCAAACAGAAGAAATTGCAGCAGGAGAAATATGAATAATTTCTAGGATGGGATTCCCTATCATCAAACTACATGAGAACTACTTCACATGACAGATTACAGAGTGTTGGGCAGTGGTCTGCATGTCCATGAGATAAAGGGGCAACCAACTTAGAGGGTGAAATGTGCCTAACTGGAGAATATCAGGGAATTGGAGATGCTGAGAGATATCTGGGAGAAATCTGTAGAGTAAATTAAAGAAGGCTGTACCACACTAGAAACTCTTGTAACTAATATAAAACCAATGTGTAGAGTAATCAACAGTTACAAAAAAAAGTGCATGCATCCAATTAGTATGCAAACCAAACTTGCAAGGCAGTGCTTGTAATGCTGAGAATACTAAAAATAAAGAAAAATAATAAAAGTGATTGTGGTAATAAACGCAATTAAAGTCCTTACATACCTGTTGGGCTGCTGATGAAGAAATGACTCTGTTCTCCAGCAGTGTTACAAGTTCAGCTAACGAGGTGGAAGTTATCACACTAGGAAAAGGAAAAAAATTATAATATAGCAGTTTTTAAAAAAAAAAATTGGTTTGCATTACTAAATTCTTATGTAATCTCCAGGCAAAGTACAAGACCTATCCATAAATATGCAAAGAAAATGGTTTTTAGCTATGTCTGCTTTGTATTTTTTAATCTATTCTGTAGAAGAAAAACTAATGCTCCAAAAAGCACTGTGGCATGTAATGAAGGCTCACTTAGACAATATTGTGCTTCTGTGTGGCAAATAAGACACTGCAACCACACAAGTAGCAGCTCAAAACACATTTAAAGTGTATACTGGCTGATGAAGCACAATGTGAAACTACATTCTACATTGATCAAGAAGTGCAGTTAGGTCAATATATATTTGGACACAGGCACAATTTTAGTTTTTTTCAGGTTTTTACCAAAACATATTCAAGCTATAGTTATAAAATGGATATGGGGATACTCTCGGGTTTAATTTGAGAGTATGTACATCCAAATTGGAGGAAGGGTTTAGGAATAACAGCTCTTAAGAGTAGCCATCCCCCCTTTTTCAAGGGACCAAAAGTAACTGGACAACTGAATATAATTATAAATAAAATGTTCATTTTTAATATTTTGTTGAGAATCCTTTACTGGCAATGACTGCCTGAAGTCTGGAACCCATGGACAATACCAAAGACTGGGTTTCCTACTTTCTGCTGCTTTGCCAGGCTCTAACTGCAGCTGTGTTCAGTTGTTCTTTGTTTGTGGGTCTTTCTGCCTTTAGTTTTGCCTTCAGGAAGTGAAATGCATGCTCAGTTGGGTTGAGATCAGGTGATTGACTCGGCCATTGCAGAATATTCCACTTCTTTTCCTTCAAAAGCTCCTGGGTTGTTCTTGCAGTGTGTTTTGGATCATTGTCCATCTGTACTGTGAAGCGCCATCCAATCAACTTTGCTGCATTTGGCTGAATCTGCTCTGACAGTATATCTCTAAACACTGCAGAATTCATCCGTCTGCTTTTGTCTTCTGTCACATCATCAATAAACACCAATGACCCAGTGCCACTGGAAGCCATGCATGCCCATGCCGTCACACTGCCTGCACCATGTTTTACAGATGACGTTGTGTGCTTTGGATAATGAGCTGTTCCAAGCCTCCTCCACACTTTTTTCTGGTCTGGCTTTTTTAGATGTTTTTTTTTAGCAAAGTCTGATCTGGATTTTCTATTTTCAGGCTTATGAATAGTTTGCACCTTGTGGTGAACCCTCTGTATTTGCTCTTGTAAAGTCTTCTCTTGATTATAGACTTTGACAATGATACAAACCCCTCCTGGAGAGTGTCCTTCACTTGTCTGGATGTTGTGAATAGGTTCTTCTTTACCATAGAGAGGATCCTGCGATCTTCTGTGGATGTCCAAGCCTTTTTTTGTTGCTGAGCTCACCAGTGCATTCTTCTTTCCTCAGAATGTACCATACTGTTGATTTGTCCACTCCTAATGTTGCTGCTATCTCTCTGATGGATTTGTTTTGTTTTTGAAGCCTTACAATGGCCTGTTTCACTTGCATGGACAGCTCCTTTGAACGCATGATGTAGGTTCACAGCAATAGATTTCAAATGTAAATACCCACACTTAGAATCAGCTCCAGACCTTTTACCTGCTTAACGGATGAAGAAATAATGAAGGAGCAGCCCACACCTGGCCATGAAACCGCTTTTGATTCAATTCTCTACCAATTTGGATGTACACACCCTCAAATTAAACCTGAGAGTGTGCACTTTCAGTCCATATCCATTATATAACTATAGCTTGAATATTTTTTGGTCAATACCTGAAAAAAATCTAAAATTGTGCCTGTGTCCAAATATATATATTGACCTAACTGTACATTACATAAATTTCTCCAGAGCAAAGCCTTTCTAACCAACAAGATCCAATTAAAACTGGTTCTTAAAGTTGACCACAGCATAGCATGACAGATGCTTTATATGAATAGAATGCCCCTGGGTAAGATGGATGCCTGCTGGCCATTTACTTTGGGGAAGGGGGACCATAACCACAGGTTTCCAAATGGTCAATCGCATGGTTTCCCTTCAAGATAACTTGCATTGGCAGCATCTTCCAGTGCAACATTCCTGCTCTGTCCTATACTGACAAACACGAACACTTGGCTGAACTAAGCAACTTATTCATGTAGGTCCTGCACAACAGACATGCCAAAGGCAGTTTGATCATGCCTCCATATCCAACTTCTTTTAGAGTATAAAGCCACCTTTACATATTAATAAACAGTGATATCTTAGTTATGTACATTTGCAGTTATATTGTAATGTACTGTATATGGTAACTACACAGCACTATATAGATGCCACTGGGTAGGGAACTTATCATAATCATTCACAAATCAAGACCCAACTAAACATTCATGCCATTAAATCAGTTTAACTGCTCATTTAAAGCAGCTGTAAACCTCTGAAATGAAAAATGAACAAGGTATATCCTTCTATAGTGTGTACTTGTCTCAATTCAAAGCACCTTGTGTGGTTTCTAGCTTTTATTTCATCCGTCTGTTATCTGTATGGGCTACTGCAGATAATTTATATCGACACCAATCAATCTGTGGAGAAGGCTCCCCCTCCAGCACACAGCAGGTGACTGACAACCTCAGCTGTGCATGTTTCCCTATGATACTGCAGGGGGGGGGTGTGGTTACTCCCTCCTCCATTCTCACACCCTGCCTGCTTTGTTCTGTGTACTATAGAAGGTTGTACAGAAGGGAACGCATCATCTGATGCTATTCACTTCAGTGGGCATATATAAGGATTTACAACCATTTTAATCACAAAAAGCCAGTGGTAGTAGCCTTTCCCTAAAGATGATCTAACACTATCTAGAAAATCACGTAATGCAGCTATGCTTACTGTTTTTTTCTGAAAATGTCATTCACATGTTAATTCTTTGTCTGTTACTGGCTTCAGTTTGTGTTCAAGAATTGGATTCTACCAAGTTGTGTAGTTGCAGAATGGTAAAACAGGCACTGGTAATGATGGAGGAATTCTGAACAACATGCTCCACCATTTACCTGTACACCCAAGTGACAACCACTACATGCTTTATAACGTAGTTGTGGTTAACAGTGAGCTATAAATGTATGAAAATAGTATTTAAACACAAACTTCAACATTCTTGTAGGTCCCTGACCAGACCCTTTTTTATTGCTCTTTTTCAGCTGTTTCAGGTTATCCCACTGCTATGCATGTAACACAGTAATATGTTTTATTATATTTTTATGCCTACACTGAAATAGTAACCTTTTTTGGCAGGAAGATTATTTCCTAAACCCTGAATCAGCTTCAAAAATGACTTATAGGTACCTTGTAAACAAATCTCACCTTTGTTTGATAGTGAGATTTTCCTGCCGAAGGTAGCCAAGCAAATCCTTAATTATCCATCCAATTATCTTCTTTGGGTCAACTCTGGTCATTTTGACCACAGTTTCAAAATAATCTTTGAGTCCATCTTCATTCTAAAGAAAAATAGCATGCAGGAGAGAACAGAAACATTTTTAATCAACAATCAGTTCAAATAGCTTGTTACAACACATCACACAACCATATAGCTATTTTCTCTAGGTCAAAATATTTATGCATAAATATTAACATAATAGCTAAATTTAAGAAAATAAAGCTGAGCACCAGACATTCAATTAAAGTATAACTAAAGGCGAACCTTTTTTTTTAGTTTTGGATAGAGAAGAAGTGGATTAGAACATCAGTTTTTATTGCTGTCTGTGCCCCTGTTAGGGAGATTCACCCTATTTGTTCTGTTTACCATTATCATTAAAAATGAAAGTAAAAGAAAATCCCAAATTTTGGGTTGTCCCCAGAAAAGCAATAGAGGAGAAATCTTCCAATGGGGACACTAGTTCTGGTGACCTGTGGGTCCTTGAGAGATTCCCTTCATTTTCTGTGATTTCCTCTCACTTTCTGTTTGGCTATGAAAACAAGATGTGAACGTAAATCTCCCCAATGGGACACAGATGGCAAAAAAAAACGTTACTAGGGTTATAACCCTCCACTACGCTATCCAAAAATGAAGCAGCAGTCGAAGTGTGAATGGCAGGGCAATTGACAAGACAGGGATGCTCAACTTGTATCACCCAACACCTGGGACATACAATTCTGGGTGCTGGGCAGGTAGTTTTTCTCTACAGTTAGGCTCTACTGCTAACTGACTGCTTCCACACATGCCGGTAAAGTGTGCCTCTCCCGCTATGTATTCTGGGATAGTAGGCACTGTTTCAGGCCTAAAATGATTCTTTAAACGTGTGCAAAAATTCCTTTGGCAGTGAAAGGGTTAGAGGGTATGTTCACCTTTGGGAACATGTTACATGCTCCACTCATTTTAGGGTGGAACATGTAACATGTTCCCGCTCATGCAGTGGCTCGATCTGAGCCCTCTGTGTGACAGCAGTACAGATAGAAGTTCCCTGTACTAGCTGTCACTTTTTGAAAAGAGCCTGGCCAGGCGGGGCTCCGCCCACACGGCTCCATCATTCCTTCACAGAGTTCTGTGATTTAATCAACTACAAGTATGGGCAGCCTTTGTGGCTGTTGACTTGTAGTTTTCAATGAACTACCACAGCACTGTTGATTTTTCCTGTCAGTGTAAAACCGTCTGCCCCTACGAAGTACGAGCAGACAGCTTACACTGACAGTCTGCAAGAGCCATGCATTACACGTGCGATCTGCTGATCGCTGGTGCAATGCTTTCCAGGCTCCTAAAAAAAAAAAAAAAAAAAAAAATACCTGCAAAAAAATGTGCATTTATTTTTTTTTTACCTGCAAAAAAAAATATGTATTTATTATTTTTCTTTAAAAGGCAAACTTATATTTTGGCATAGTGGATAATGGAGCTTGATTTGGCTGTTTAGCATGCACTTGTACCAAGAACTCAAGTGCTTTTTTTTTTTTCTCACTGGGGCTGGCACCTCATTTACTTGCTCAAAAGATGCACTTCTGCTGAGTGTTAAGAAAGCCCCACACCCCACACTTTCCTGACAAGCACCTAATCGGTGCTCATTACACTGGAAGGTCTCTCCCCTCTCTGCTAGTCTCTGGGTGCGGTGTTGGAGACAGGAAGGGAGGTGAGGAGTAGATAAACAGCACAATGTTAAAAGTTCCAGTTGTCATAAAGCGCCTTTCTTGTTTAAAAGCCCCAGACATTCCTAAAAGTATCTCAGATTTGGATCCCGATTTTTCCAAAAAAAAAACTTCCACACCCCTGCAAGAGCCAATCAGGTGAATCTGCAGTACATGTAAAGCGACAGGAAGGAGGAACTAAAGAGCACATCATCACGCTACTGCGCCTTCATTTCCAATCAGCAGGCCAGAGTTTACTCTAGACCAGGGGTGGGCAACTGTGGCCCTCCAGCTGTTGGTGAACTACAATTCCCATCATGCCTCTGCCTTTGGGAGTCATGCTTGTAACTGTCAGTTTGCAATGCCTCATGGGACTTATAGTTCTACAACAGCTGGAGGGCCACAGTTGCCCACCCCTGCTCTAGACCAAGCTATGCTGTTACAGTAAATAGCTGAATATGTTGGCTGGCATGGAGGTCTTGAGCATAGGATTAGCCAAACAGAATTACAATCCTTCGGCAGGTAACAGCTTCCGTACATGTGTTTCAGAAGCTTATCTACAGTTCAAGTTTTAAAGAAACTACTTTTAAATTTTCACAACTTTGACAATGTAAAGTGTTCCCTTCTTTAAATTTTAATGAGACCACTCACTTAGCAAGAGAACCTGCAGCTGTTTCAGTGGTGAACTGTCTGCCACAGGGAACATTCTCCAGCTCTCTTCTTAAAAAATGCCAGCAGACATCAGAAATACAGGAGGGTTTTTCACATTCTGCTTTGTTAGCAACAGCTTGAAACATTACAAGAAACAATGCCTAACTTTCTTAGCCTTTTTTTATTATCAATGAAAGCAAATGTTCCCTTAGACATGCATTCCTGTTCCTAGTATGAAATGACTGGCTACTGATTTGTACAACAATTTGTCCACCCCTGCCTCATTAAACAAACTTAACAGTACAGATTCTTCAGTGAACAGAGAGTAGCATTACAGGCTTAGAGATGAAAACATTTTGCAATTTCGGATCAACAATGTACCAAAATATAAATGTTTTTTGATTTACAAAACTTTGTAGAGAGAAATAGGCTTTATACATTGGTATATTTCAGGGAATTTCAAAGCAGGAACATGATGATAAAAAAAAGACAAAACATGAAAAGTGAAGATTCATCGGGAGGCTATATTTGTTTTGTGCAGGCTCCCAGTTCGTCTTTGGTAAGATGACATATTTTAGTATCTGCCAGGACTCCAGCAGACTGATAACTACAAAGTGAAAACCAATTTAGAAGATCACAGGCATGCCATTACAGACAAGAATCTATTTTAGCCAAGACAATACATAGTGCAAGACAGTTGGTGGTACAAAACTTAAAATTATGATGTCTGTGCTTGAATGTAAACATCTGCACAGCACTTTACATCATCTCTATCACATAACCTTGTGCACTGGGAACAGTTTGTGCCAAGGAATTATTAGAAACCAGAATCAATGAACGGATTTATGAAAGGGGTATGAGTAAACTGACTAATGCTTTCCATTTTCTTTCTGGGCTGGCTAAGGGATCTGTCTCAATCATCTAGTTAAATAATTTAACTTACAAGACGCATGGAAGAAATTAGAAATATTTTAACAGTGACCCAAACAGTGTCCACAACAAAAACATCAAGGTAGTGCCAGCCTTCAGTAAACAAAAAATCACAAGGAATTGTACATTTTATGATTAACACTTAAAAGATATCTAAATCCAACAACAATAGTTCTTAGATGTAATGGCTGCATTAGTTTTCATTTTGCAGGTCAAGAACATTTTCAGCAAGTACAAAAATACCTGTTGAACTTACCAGCATTTCAGTGCCCTTGAAAATGTCTTTGAATTGAACTGAGATCTCAAACAATCATATCTTCCTTCCAAGCTATCTTAAGTAAACTACAAATTCCCCTGCTCCCCATGTAAAGAAGATGGAAAGAAGAAGACAAGCTTGTTGCCCAAGTCAGGAGGGAAGCCTGGGAGACAACCATGGCTTCCTTCACAAATACAGTGGAGTAGTGAGTGTAGCCACCCTAGGACAGGAAGTGTGTTATTTGTAGGATTACCATGTGAAATTAAAGGAAAAAATGCCTGAAATAAAATTAAAGACACCACATCTAAGGACTTGTAAGATTCAATATATAACATTTTTGGTTTTGGATACAGGTACACTTTAACCACTTGCCCTCCAGACCAGGCCATTTTTTTGCTAATTGGCACTGTGTTACTTTAACTGATAATTGCACGGTCATGCAACACTGTACTCAAATGAAATTTATATACATTTTTTTTCACACTTTCTTTTGGTGGTATTTGACCGCCACTGAGTTTTTAATTTTTTTATAAATATATAAATGAAAAACAGACTGAACATTTTGGGGAAAAAAAACAATATTGTTTTACTTTCTGCTATAAAACAAGTCCAATAAAAAATTAAAAAAAATCAAACTTCTTCATAAATTTAGGCCAAAATGTATTCTGCTACATATGTTTGGTTAAAAAATTCCCAATAAGTGTATACTGATTGGTTTGAGCTAAAGGTATAGACTCTACAAACTATAGTACAATTTTAAATTATTTATCTTTCATACTAGTAATGGTGGCGATCAGCAACCTATAGGAAGACTGTTATAGTACAGCGGTCAATCTGACACTAACTGACACTTTGTGGGACCCAGCAACACTAATACAGTGATCAGTGCTAATAATATACAGTGGGGAAAATAATTATTTGATTTTGTAAGTTTGACCACTAACAATGAAATGAAAGTCTATAATTTTTTATCATAGTTGTATTTTAAATGATAGAGACAGAATATCAAACAAAAATCCAGAAAAAAACACGATACAAATGTTATAAATTGAGTTGCAGTTTAGTGAGTAAAATAAGTATTTGATCCCCAAGCAAAACATGACTTGTTGGCAAGCACAGAGGTAAGACGTTTCTTGTAGTTGGTTACCAGGTTTGCACACATCTCAGAAGTTTCAGCTCCCTCCATAAATTTTCTATAGGATTAAGGTCTGGGGACTGGCTAGGCCACTCCATGACCTTAATGTGCTTCTTCTTGAGCCACTCCTTTGTTGCCTTGGTGGTATGGTTTGGGTCACTGTCATGCTGGAAAACCCAAACACGACAAATCTTTAGTGTTCTGGCTGAAGATTTTATAATACATGGCCCTGTCCATTTGCCCTTCAATATGGCAAAGTCGGCCTGTACCTTTAGTAGAGAAACAGCCCCAAAGCATAATGTTTCCACCTGTGTGCTTGAGCGTAGAGATAGTGTTCTTAGGGTCATAGTCAGGATTTTTCTTCCTCCAAACATGGCAAGTTGAGTTAATGCCAAAGAGGTCAATATTGGTCT